GCGTGTGTGTGTGTGTGTGTGTGCAGCGAAGAAATGAAGGCATTTGAAAATGGCACAAAACACAAAAGTCAATGAATAAGCAGCCAGTGCAAGTAAAGCAAATTTGCTAAAGACAATGGGACTTTTAAGGGGAGTGAGAGGAAAGCGAAGTGGGAGATGCACAGTAAGAAAAGTCATAAATTTTCACAATTTCATAATACTAGTTTAAAGATAAAGATGTTGTGGTATACATTTTAGTAAACATTTTCCTTAGTTCTAAAACTTAATCAACTCTCTATTCATACTTAATTTTTCTTATGATTCTTTCGTTTTAGAAATAGAAATTGTTCTGCCTGTAATGGAGGGTTTCTGAGGGAAAAGGGACAGGAAGTACGCCCAAGTATGGCACGATGCGACACACATGGCATAAGAAAACAATATGGCAAAACAATTTAGATAAGTTCAAACAACTGCCGTTTTCCCCCCAAATGAACGGCCCCCACTTCGCCTTCAGTTCTGCAGCGCCGGCAAACGCCTTGGAATGAAAATGTTTTTCTTGGTTAGGAATGCTGGGCCTGCAGGGCGAAAAACTATGGAAAACGTCAAGAAAGTAAGTCCCAGCGATGTTATAATAATAGTAGAGTTTTCACCGCCCCCTCCTCCTCTATCCCATCACGTCATTTGACTTTCATCTTTTCCGCCGTGTGCTGCGATCGTTAATCACCACCAGGGGGTTAAGAGGACCACGGGGGGGGTTAAGGGGGCACTCTGTGGGGTTAAGCGGGAGAGCTCCGGACGGAGGAGGAGGAAGTGCGTGCCATCCTGCAAGATCCCATCTCGAAACTCGCCCACGTCATCGTCTCCGGGTGCTTGTGTATATTTGTCATGACATTGCAGTTTTTTAACTTAAGTTGCTATGGAATTTTCATTTTCCTCGGCGAGTACCGAAAATATTTATGGCTGGAAAAGCGAGTGACAGGGAGGGGTAGGTGTAGGAAAATCCAACAAGGAAGTGTAAGAGGAAGCGCTGACAGACAAGCCCCAAAGTAATTTGACCAAGTTCAAAGTAATGTTTTGAGTGCCGGCAATAAAAAATGAAACATTGAGATTAAGCTAAGCGCCCCTTTTAGTCGACATTTCTATTACCGTGTAAAAAAGAAAGCTAACCGGTTTTTTTTTTCTGTTTGTCTTAGTTTTTACGATTTGCCATCGCTTCTTCTTACTGCAATTTTTTATGCTTTCCTATCTGAAGCCATAAAAATACTCAGTGGCTGCCGCACAAAATACTTTTATTTTACGACCTAATTGAGTGATATGAGCCATTTCGCATATGGCCGCAGCTTTAGCTATTTTCCAGGGTACTATGATGCGCAAAAAAGGGAAAAATAGAAATGAAAAGAAGGGGGGAAAACTGCATTCATTCCTTAATGTGCCCCAACAGCTTGTCAAGTCTTTGTTTTTTTTTTTTTTTTTTTGCCCTTTTGTTGTCAGCTTAAGCTGATACCGCCGACCATCGCCATCGTCGGTCCTAGCCCCCTGGTGGACCCTTAACCCCCGTCGCCTCACTAAACACATTAAAACGTCATAATCAACATAATCATAAAGATAATGCATAACAGAACAGCGGGGAGAAATTTGTACGCTGGTCAGCCATTTTTTTTTCTGTTGTTGTTGTTGCTGTTGCCATCTCCCTTCGCTTCCTTTCGCCGCTTTCTTCGCCATTCTCCGCCATTTTCAACCGGCTTTCTCTCATTATTATTTCGCTAAGCTTGGCCACAAAAGGCGACTAAAGCCTGACCTTTGCTTAATTATGGTAATTAGCACACACCAAAAAAAATGCTCAAGTCGCGCCAAAGAGGCAAAACCAAACGGAATGGAACGGAAGGGGACGCAGATCTCGGGCCCAGAACACTGAAAGCAATTTACTTTTATCATTATTGTTCTGGTTTTTCGGTGCGAGCTCTGATTTAATGGTTAAAAAATCAAAATACCTATTTCTGGCAGAAATGAGCAATAGTATTTTCGGTATTTTAGCTCTATCTCGGTCAAAACAAGCAGCAGAACGAAAAGAACAACTGTTTTGTGCTGCTAACGACCAACACTTACCTCCCCTATACCTCGATTTTCGATATTGAGAAAATCAATTTGGGCCCTAATTTCAGATTTTTGATAAGGGGTACCATCATCAAAATGTTCAAAAAAGGGCCAAAAATTAAGTTTCCCAGATTTAAATGCAAACCAATTAGGAATCATGGCAATCAAGTTATGAGCCCTACGAGGTATTACATTCGTAATTTGAACCATTTTAGGCTGTGCTATGGTTAGAAAACTGATTATTTTGTGCTTAAAATCACGTATACGTCGGTTGACAACAGAGAGCCCGACTTTGTTGCCATTTCTTAGCTTTAACTTTGTCAAAACAAGCCGCATAGCTAAAACTATGACTGTTTTGTGCAGCTTACTACCGAAACTTAAATCCCCTATACTTGATTTTATCATAATTGTTGTGATTTTTCGGTGCGAGCTCTGATTTAATGACTAAAAAATCGAAATACCAATTTCTGACAGGAATTCGCTATAGTATTTTCGGTATTTTGGCTCTATCTCGGTTAAAACAAGACGCAGAGCGAAAAAAACAACTGTTTTATGCTGCTTACGACCAACACTAAGTACCCCTATCACTCGTTTTTCGATTTTGGGAAAATCAATTTTGGCCCAAATTTCGCATTATTGATAAGGGGTACCATCATAAAAATTTTTAAAAATGGGCCAAAATGAAATTACCCAGATTTGAATGCAAACCAATTGGGAATCATGGCAATCAAGTTATGAGCTCTACGAGGTATTACATTCCTCATTTGGACCATTTTTGGCTGTGCTATAACCAAAAAACTGATTTTTTTGCGCTCAAAATCACGTATACGTCTGTTGACAGCAGAGAGCCCGGCTTGTTGCCGTTTTTGAGCTCTAACTTTGTCAAAACAAGCCGCACAGCTAAAACAATGACTGTTTTGTGTAGCTAACTACCGAAACTTAACACCCCTTTACTTCCTTTTATCATTATTGCTCTGATATTTTGGCGCGAGCTCTGATTTAAAGGCTAAAAAATCAGGAAACCGATTTTTAATAGAAATTTGCAATACTACGTTCGGGTTCTTAGCTCTAGCTCGGCCAAAACAAGACGCAGAGCGAAATGAACAACTGTTTTGTGCTGCTAACGACCAATACTAACCACCCCTATCATTCGATTTTCGATTTTGGGAAAATCGATTTTGTCCCTAATTTCACATTTTTGATCATCAAAATTTTCAAAAATGGGCCAAAAATTAAGTTTTCCAGATTTGAACGCAAACCAATTGAGAATCATAGCAATCAAGTTACGAGCCCTACGAGGTATTACATTCCTCATTTGAACCATTTTTGGCTGTGCTATGGCCAAAAAACTGATTTTTTGTTGTGCCCAAAAGTATGTTACGTCTTTTGACAGCGGAGAGGCCGGCATTGTTGCCGTTTCTTAGCTCTAACTTTGTTGGGATCCCGAATTTTCTCTCAGTACATTTTTGTAAGCTGGACAGCAGCTGCATCTCTGTCCCAAAGATGGGAATGTGGATGATGACGTTGACAATGACGAGGATGGACCAAAGCTGCTGTCTTGATATAAATATTAAAACGTTAAAAAAACCAAAAGGGCACAGCATAGGTTGATAGGGAAGAGAGAAGCCAAAAGCTGAAAGTGAATTGCTTCCGCATTTTCGTTTGGCTTTAAGCGCTCCTCAAATGGGAGCTACTTCCACCCCAAAAAAAAGCGACCGCTCCACTCTTGCAATAATATTATGCAATATTTGTTTCATTTTGTCTTGGCCTTGTTTCACATTATTTCTTTCATTTTTTACTTTTGCTGCTGCGTTTAATTTGCGTATTTCATTTAATTTGCCGTGAATTTGCGGGCCATTCATATTGTCTTTGTTAAGGAGAATGGCGAGGGTTAAGGCTTTTTGGCTGGAGGTTTCAGTGGGGCAACTTCCGTTGCTGTCAGGCTGAGGTGGGTTCTTTGTTGTGCAAATTAATACAGTCTGAAAGTCAGCAGTCTTAGTTTTGCACTGCAGTTTTGCCCTGAAAACTTCGTTGGTTTTTATTAAGGACAAACTTTTAACAATATTAACCAGGAATTGCGACACAAGGAATCCTGCTTGATATAAAATGATATTAAACCATCTAAACTAAGGTTAGGTAACCTAAAATAATCATCAGCCTATGTCCTGAATCGCTTCTTCTCGGACAATGACCCCGAAAAGGTCAACTGTCTGCGGCTGGCATCAATCTGGCATCAAATGCCGGATCGACTCCTTTGGCCTCATTAAAGTGTTTTACCCTCGCTTACACCCATACACAAACACACACACACATCTACTCAAAGGACGAGGCAAGGACTTGGGGCAGTCAGTAATGTGTAATTTATTGCCTCGCTCAAATTGAAACTAAGCGCCATTAAAAAACAATAAACTAAACATGTAATAAATTCAGACCAAACATGCGCACACATACATTGCGCCTATGTGTGAGTGGTAAATACCGAAAACACACATGCACACACATACACACATACATACATACTCCAACAGCAGCAGCAAAAAAACTGTGCAAAATAAATTGACCAAATCTGTTGGATAAAAGGATTTGAAAGCAATTAATTGCCAGCGCATAGAAGACATCAAAAAATACACACATACTTGTACAATTTCTATATATATATATATATCTATTTCTATTTGCTGCAACATCCAAAACAGCACTAAAACTAACAAGAGTACTAAATTGCACTTGCCGTAATCGATATAAAACAAAAACAAACAACACATTTAGCCAAAACTTATGAAGGGTAAAACTAGAAATTACATTTGTTAACTTGTAACAAGTTAATGGTTTTAAAAATGTTAAAAATTATATATATTATATATTAAAAATTATATATTAAAAACCCCAAAATTGCGATTATCTATTAAATAAGAAATCTTTTTAAATTTTAGGTGTATCTGGTGTGTGTTTTATTCGATTCGATGATATATGATATGATATGATGTGCAGTGTAAAAATGTAAGTATTTTATGTTTTTAACGATAATTTATTTAGTCATCCCTCTCCTTGCTCTTGTGACCCCTATGCAAGTGAATCAGTGGCTTCCTATAGTTCTCGAGACGCCATTTCGTAGAACGCTTTTTACCGATCATCTTCAAAACGCCGCGCAATTTACTTTCACGTAGGCCAGATTTTGCCACTAAACTATCCATGCGTAGAAACTTCAATCCGTTATAGCACTTGATCACTTTGCGATAGTCACTATTAAGGGCCAGCTATGAGTAAATTGATTTGATTTAAATATTATTACTTTTATAATATTGGGCAACTTACTGGCTCATGATTACTATACTCTCGAGTTTCTCCTGTAATCTCCGCATTGTAGGCATCCAAATAGAACTTACTGATGCGCCACTTTGAATCCTTCTTAATGGCAACTCGTTGTAGAGTCTTGCGTAAATTGTTCTTTGACAAATTGGTCCGGCTAACGAGATCCCTGAGGGTCCTGTACTTGCGGCCCTCGAAGGCAGACCTAACGATACGATCCATTTTTGTTTGCAAACGAGATTCGGTCTGCAATATATAACGATTAATTAGTATAGATTATAACTTCAATTCATATATATATATGAAACTCTTACTTTCGAAGATCTTTCCGAACTCGATGTTTGTGGCTGTTCAGCATTTTGCATCTGAATGTGTCTCTCAGCATACTCTTCAGTCATTGGGCGGTATGATTCACGGTTTGGTATCTCATTCGAAATATAATTTACTAGTCGATTCGGTTGCAATGGCTCAATATGCTGTTTAGGGATGTCTCTTTGAACTAAACGCGGTGGATACAACGAACGGTTGTAATCATGCACATCTGGCAGATGTTGCTCACATCTCTTCGGATAGAGATTGGAAGAGGATAGAGATGGATAATTATTCCTTTCCATAGGGTCATCATAATAATATGATTGATTAGCTTGCATAGCCTGTGCCCTTTGATAATATCGTTCATAATACTGATTATATCTGATGCATTCCTCTTCATATGCACTATACGCTGAACGATGCATTGATCGAGTCCTATTATAAACATGATCGGCATATACATGATCATAATACTTTTCCGCATAATACTGATCCGCATAATACTGTTCGGCATAGGCTGCCTGGCTTAACCTCATAGTTGGGTTCATATATAATTTACTAGCTTGCGTCGGATAATCGTTTTGATAGTTTTTATTCAGATAGTGAGCCTGAAATGGTTGAACCCTTTGCTTGAAATTGGACGAGGATGTTGCCTGGGTAGCAATTGTCTTCACTGCAGTCGCTGGTGAAGTCTTTATAGTTGTAGTAGTAGTAGTTTTCGCTTCGGTCGAAGTCGAAGTTGGATTCGGTTGTTCCTAAAATGAAGTAAAAGAAAAGCTTTTATTAGTAAACATTCGCAAATCCATAGGGTTTTCTTACAGTTGGTTCTTTGGTTCCAAGTTTTGGAATTTTAAACTGATGCAACGCGTTTAGTTTTGGATCATTGTTGACAGCCTCATTGGTTTGCTTTGGTAGCTTCATTTTAGCTCTTTCATCCCGGAAAACCGACCACTTGCGTTTCAATGGGGTAAAGGAGTTATCGTCACGGTGCTCCATATCGAGCACAGAAGGTTTGTCAAGACACGGTGCTAGTGGTAGGTCAGAGACTTTGGCTTGCGCTTCTAAATCAGATATTTTTTGCGGATTACTAAGATTCACATTTCCAGACTTTTTTGCTGCTTCAAATATTGGTTTCATATTTACTTCAACAGCTTCAGATGAAGTGGATGCTAAAGACCATCTGCGTTTCGTTGCGGCAGATGGTTTATTTTTTGGTAAAAAAATCCTTGGCTTATTTGGTGACTGAGAATTGGAAGTTTTCAGCCCGTCAGTTTTTATATCAGTTTCCAAAGGTTCGGATTCTAATAGTTTCAACGTTGCCTGCGCATCTTTAGACGTAGATGGTTTCATGTCTAGCTTAAGCGAATCAGGCTCTGTTTTATTTGGAATCGGAATAGGTACAAGTGGTTTCATACCCGATTCCGCGGCCTTAGATACGTCTTTTTCAATGTTGTTATCATAAACTAAAGTCTCGTCTGGTTTTGCTTTCTTTATGGTCTTTGGTGGTAGTGCAAATGAATTTATATCCAATCGTTTCTTCTTTGATTGGGCCTCCTTCTTCTTGGTTGTACATGGTTTCGTACCGAGCTTAGAAATTGCTTTCACAGTTGGCTTACGAATTTTTGGATTAGAGGTCTTTGCACCTGATTTATTTTCTAATTTTCCCTGCCGTTCTATTATAGCTTTCTTAGCGGGTTCCAAAGTCTTGGGAATGCAGAGTTTGGCATCTTGTTCAGGAATGCTCGGAGTACTTGATTGCTTTTCATCTTGTTTCGAAAATGTAGAAGTACATAGCTTTTCTTCTTCTGGCTTCGAAAGTGTAGATGTACATGGTTTTCCATTTGCCTCAAAAAGAGGATTACATAACTTTGGTTCTGGTTCACTATTTAATTTGCGGTTTTTTCGATTTGATGTTGAAGAATTTTTGGGATTGCCTAGTTTAAAATCCGGCTCCGAAATCATATACTCGAATGATTTAACATCTGGTTTTGATACGGAACTCTTACTGGAGTTTGAGCCTGGCTCAGTAGCTGATGATTGGGTGGTCCCAGGTTTTATTGGTCCATCAATTGGCATGAAGGATACTTTTGGCTTGGCAACATTTTTACGATTGTTGGATTTCAAATCAGGGTCTGAAATTTTCACATCGTGTTTCACAGGTACTTCCAGTTGTATTGTTAGCCTACGCTTGCATGGTTCCGAAATTAAAGGATTTCGGGTTTTCGAAACCGTGACACCAGCTGATTTCTTGCCAGTCTGTCTTATTGCTTCGTCCGCCAGAGTCGAAGCCCTACGCTTCATGGCAGCTTTAAAGCTGGAATCATTCTTCTTTGGTTCGGAAACTTCTTGTCTTAAAAAAGCCACCTTTTTCGCATCTGGTTTAGAAATGATCGGATTAGTAGGTTTTACATTTTTATCACTAGCTAATTTTTTGGCCATCGGTTTCACAGGAACGTCGGGATGTGTCGATGACCTACGCTTGCATGCTTCCGAAATTAAAGGATTTCTGGTTTTCGAAACCGATACACCAGCTGATTTCCTGCCAGTCTGTCTTATTGCTTCGTCCGCCAGAGTCGAAGCCCTACGCTTCATGGCAGCTTTAAAGCTGGAATCATTCTTCTTTGGTTCGGAAACTTCTTGTCTTAAAAATGCCACCTTTTTCGCATCTGGTTTAGAAATTATCGGATTAGTAGGTTGCACATTTTTATCACTAGCTAATTTTTTGGCCATCGGTTTCACAGGTACGTCGGGATGTGTCGATGACCTACGCTTGCATGCTTCCGAAATTAAAGGATTTCTGGGTTTCGAAACCGTGACACTAGCTGATTTCCTGCCAGTCTGTCTTATTGCTTCGTCCGCCAGAGTCGAAGCCCTACGCTTCACGGCAGCTTTAAAGCTGGAATGATCCTTCTTTGGTTCGGAAACTTCTTGTCTTAAAGATGCCATCTTTTTCGCATCTGGTTTAGAAATGATCGGATTAGTAGGTTTTACATTTTTATCACTAGCTAATTTTTTGGCCATCGGTTCCATAGGTACGTCGGGATGTGTCGATAACCTACGCTTGCATGGTTCCGAAATTAAAGGATTTCTGGGTTTCGAAGCCGGCTTGCTCACTGATTTCCGGTCACTCCGTCGTATTGCTTCGTCCACCAGAGTGGAAGCCCTTCGCTTCGCAGCAGCTTTAAAGCTGGAGGATTTCTTAATTGGTTTGGAAACTTCTGGTTGCAATGTCTTCGACACTTCAATTGTCTTTGAAAGAGGTAATTGCAATTTAGGTTGTATTGATGCCGAGTTTGGTAAAACATCTGGCAAGTCATGTTTCCCAGGTCGATTGCTTTTCAACGGCATTTCCTTCGGGTTTTGTATAAGCTCTTGATCTTGCTCTTGGTGGTGCATTCTTGATTGTTTAATTATCGGATTAGTAGGTTTTACATTGATATCACTAGCTAATTTCCGGGCCATTGGTTTCATAGGCTCTCCGTGTTGTATTGATGACCTACTCCTGAATGGTTTCGAAACCGGCACACTACCTGATTTCCTGCCACTCTGTCTTATTGCTTCGTCCACCATAGTCGAAGCCCTACGCTTCATGTCAGCTTTAAAGCTGGAATCATTCTTCTTTGGTTCGGAAACGTCTTGACTTAAAGGTGTCACATTGGATCGCAATGTCTTTTCATATTTCCCAGCACAATCGCTATTCGACGGCATAACCTCTTGATCTTGCTCGTCCTTTGGGTAAACCGGGTCTTTCATATAATCCTTCCCATTTCGCCTTCTTGGTTTTCCTGTTGATTCAGCAATTTTAGAAAAATCTGAAATTTTGATATCTAAATTCTGAAATTCTTTCAAGTCAAGTGCATGTTCCTTACTTTCACTGCCTTTATCCACCCGTCCTTTAATTGGTTTCCCGGGGTTCACTTTCGGTTTAGCAATTTTCGGATTACATAGGTTCTCGGTTGGCTCAGAAAGCTGGGAAATATTCTGTTTATCTGGTTGAGTAGCACCACATTTCAGGTCAGGTTCCTTTGACTCGGGCAACTTAATGGCCTTCTGGACAGGCAATCCCAAGGGCATTTGAGGCTCAGATGGTTGTTTTTTCTGATTAGATCCAGAAACTACAGAAGCTTCTAACCATTCCTCGAGTCTCGAAAGTGCCTCCTTGGAAGACGTTTCTGTTTCTGGAACTTTCGATCCTTGTGAGGCTTCAAGGTTTGGTAAATTAGAATTACCGGTCGCTACACTCGATTTGCGGATATATCTTTTAGCCATTGGTCCAGACCTAAAGGGTTTACGGCAAGGTGCTTCTGAACTTGGCGCCTTTGCAGGCTGGCACCTTGGCCTAGATGGCTTTACCGTGAAACCAGAACAAGCTTGGATATTAGTCAAATTCACTGCGGTGGAGACTTTTACTTCAGATATGTCTTTTGGCGTTTGTTTAATCTGAAGTATGAAATGCAAATTAATGACAGACTAGAGAAAATTCTTATAAATATCTTACATATGTACTTGCCACATTAGAATTCGGTTTCGAGTCAGCTCTGTTCTTGCTCGCTGTGTTGATAATTTTTCTCTCTGGCGAGGAGTCCGAAGAGGAAAAGGAGCTCGACGAAATGGCAGAATAATACATTGATTCGGAGCAATCGACAGGCAATGGTAATTGAGGATTCGATTTTTTTCCAGAAAAACAAACTATGGGTGGACCAAATATCTCAACAAACTTAGGATTGTTAACTTGGACTTTTGTTTTAGTTTTTTTGGAATAACCGGCCATTGGTTTTGGGTTTGTGATAGGTTTTTTAGTCGTTGGTGATCCTGATTTGGGCATCTTTGACTGCTGCGAAGCTGGCTTAGGTTGATTTCCTATTGGATTTGCTTTGAAATCAATCGAATTGGCTGAAGAGGTGGTGTTGCATTTTTGAACTTCTCCCGTGACCTGAAAATTAAATAATTAATTATTTTCCTATTAATAATTTTCAACCAGAAATGGTGATATACTTACAACATCAGGCTTCGGCTTCTCTATAGTTTTGCCCTGCGTTTTGCGTCTAGTTTTTCTATGTTTTCCATGATCTTTGTTCTCCGCTGAGGAGATTGAAGAAGACGTGATCAACGGATTATTGTTCTGTTCTGGGGCAGGTATTGCAGTCTTAGGCTGTTTTTCAGCTGACAATCCAGCTTTTGGAATCTCTGATTTCTTAGTTTCATCTGGCAGAGTCGTTGGCAAACGCTTTCGTGTGTAAGATTTACGTGGACCGCTTCCACCTGCTGAATCGACAGATTTGGGATTGCCAGGTGGCATATCTGGTTTAGATGATACAGAATTACTGGCCATCGGCAGAGATTTTAAATTTTCTGGTTTAGACTTCGAATCTGGCTTAGTTTGATTCGCTGGTAGATTGGCTTTTCCTTCAGATTCATCCATTGGTTTTTGATTAATCTGTCCAATTAAAGGAATATTAAATTATTTTATTATTTTTTTAGTAATAATTCGTAGAGATATTCTTACACAATCAGTTTTCGGCGTTGCCCTTGTTTCGCTCTTCAAATTGCGTTTAATTTTCCCATCGTTTCCAAGATCTTTGCTTTGATTCGCTGGTAGATTGGCTTTTCCATCAGATTCATCCATCGGTTTTTGATTAAACTGTCAGATTAAAGGAATATTAAATTATTTTTATTTTTTATTAATAATTCGTAGAGATATTCTTACACTATCAGTTTTCGGCGTTGCCCTCTTCAAATTGCGTTTAATTTTCCCATCGTTTCCAAGATCTTTGCTTTGTGATGAGGAGCTCGAGGTGGGCATGGAGTTCAATGGAATAGGAGGACCATGTGGTTTTGATCCTACAGAAGGGACAGATTTTGGCAATGGCTCGGATTGTTTTCTATCCAGACTTCCCGCTGGTGGAACTTTGGCCTTTTGTGGTTCATATACTGGACCTGATGGCCAAGGCTTTCCATCTAGACTGCCAGCTGTTGGAGCTGTGGAGTTTTGCGGTTCATATACCGGAACCGATGGCCAACGTTTTCCATCTAGACTGTCGGCTACTGAAACTTTGGACTTTTGTGGTTCATATACTGGACCTGATGGCCAAGGCTTTCCAACTAGACTACCCGCTGTATTAAGTTCCATACCTGATTTAGGAAGTATAGGATTGTAGAGCTTCGCATCTGGTTTAGAAAAATGAGATCTGGGTGGGCCGTATTCATCAATCTTTGGATTGCACAGTGGCACATTTGGGTTAGAAAACACAAAATTAGTGGTGATCACATTTTGTTTTGGGCTGGATTTTGGATCCATCGACACTTCTAACAGCTTCGAGTCTGACTCAGCTTGATTAGCTGGGAGATTGACTTGGACATTAGTCGAATTCGCTGCAGTAGAGGCTTTTTCCTCAGATTCGTTTGGAGTATCCTGCCGTAGGAAATAAAAATATTGGTCTTAGCTATCTTTAAATCGGATATTATGACGAACAACTTACATCTTCAGATTTGGGCTTTTCATTAGTTTTCCCATCATTGCCAGGATCTTTGCTCTCTGGTGAGGATCTAAGGGGGGATAGAGACTTCGACTTCGAAATGGATGAGCCAGGTAATGGAGGCTCAACTAGACTGTCCGCTATTGGAGCTTCGGATTTTTGTGAAGCATCATTAGTATTCGCACCATTGGAGGGTTTTTCTTCCGATTTGCTCTGGGGGCTATTCTTAACCTGACATATGAGACATATGAAACTGATAATATATTGTTTTTATAATGATCTTACAGATATACGAACCGTGCCATTTATTTTTCCATCGTCGTCGGGATCGTTTATATCTGATGAGGAGCTCGAGGAGCTCAACGATATGGGAGGAACAAAAAAATCTAGTTCCGAGCTGTTTCTATAATCTGCAGAAACTTTTGGCTTCGAGCCAGATGATGAAGATGAGGAACTCGAACTAGAACTTGATCCAGAAGATGAGCGGGATAAACTGGATCCGGAGGTACTCGATGATGATGAACTGGATGCCTTGGAGGTTCTTGATGATTTGGAAGAGCTCGATGAAGAGGAGGAACCCGACGAACAGGTTGAACAGGATGAAGAAGACGAGCTAGATGAGCTGGATGATCCAGATGAGCTGGATGATCCAGAAGAGCTGGATGATCCGGATGAGGTGGACGAACCGGATGAAGATGATGAAGCAGAAAGTGATCTGAGCAGAGGGCCTACTCTGGGATGAGTAATCGAGCCATCTGCAATCTAAAATGCAAGTTATGAATATGATTTATTTTCTTTTATTTGAAAAATTACGTACCGTAGTATTTTTTTCTGCCTTTCGTGACTTTCGAGACTTTCGTTGCATCTTCTGTTGCATCTTTTTCTCCTGTGCCAGCATATATTCAAGGTTCTTCCCCTTACTTATAGGCCTTGGAGTGGGTTTGATAACTTCAGGAACTCGATTCATGGATTGTGGGTTTGCGGATAGTGGCATCGGTTTTGTTGGTGCCAGCATTGGCATGGGCTTCATAGCTGCTCTTATCGGATGGGGCTTAGCTGGCGCTATCTTAGACATGTCCTTGGGTGGAATGCTTATGGGGGTAGTATCCATGGGTATGGCTTTCATAGGTGCTTGTTCTTTGCTGCTGGCTGTTGTTTTGGTGGATGCTGCAGGTTTCTTTGGATTTTTTGTTGCTGGCTTCGGTTTGGGTACCTTAGGAGGAACGGTTTCCTGTGAGGTTTCAAGCGGCACATCTTTAACCGATCTCTTGTTAATTGGCTTAGTCTTAGGTTCATTTTTAAGCCTCGGAGCATTGGGCTTACTCACATTGCCTGCAATAATAGGAACACTTGGATTTGGTGGTGCAACGGCTGCACTTTTACCTGCTACAGTAGTGGTTTTCGTCATGATATTGGCATTAGTTTGGGCTTGCATGTTGGTTTCCATTACATTCTTACTGCCCATCTTAGTATAAGCTCGCTTGACTGCTGTTTTAGCTTTAAAGGATGTGCTGGGTTTAGGCTGATCTACTGAAGCAGCGGAAAAAGTATTCGAAATTGGTTTTGGATCTGCTTTAGAAGCTTTTCCAGTCGCCTTGGGCTTTAGTGGCATCTCGTTTTCCTTCTCCTCCTTGGCTCTCAACAAGGTTCTATTAACAGGCTTCTGTGTTGGTATGCGATTTTTTGGTTCATGTGCTATACGCCTCGTAGGTTCGGAAACTACTCTATCGGTCAGTGGATAATTTTTCGAATTCGAATTTATTTCGCTTATTGTATTTCCAGCTGGATTAGTAGTAGCTGTAGCAGAAATATCATTTTGATTTTTTGTAATATTCGATGGCTCTTTGACTATATCCTGTGGGCCAATTTGAGTAGTTTCCATAGTATTTAAACTAGCAGTTGATACTTCTTCACTTGCTTTTATCTTTATCTTCTTGGTTGGTATTGTTTCAGTATCTGATGGTACTTCCGGCTCCACGGATACCACTTCTTCCTTCGGTTCATTTTGAATATCCATCAACATGGCTTCCAATTCTCTTAGGTAACAATTATCGACGAGAACATTAGGCATAGGATCCAGAAGGGCAAGCACTGCCAACGGCTGTAAAGAAAAGTTGAAAAATAATTAAAATCGCTGTATCGAAAGGGGTATTCCAAAAAATAAAACCTACGTCTGATAGATCTTGCAATGGTACTGGTACTGATACTGGTTCCATTGGAGAATTCTGAAAGGTAGAAGGTAATAGATTGATTGAGGGAATTTGCAGTTCAGGTGGTAAAAGTTCCATTGGTGAAACTAGCAGTACAGATGGTACTGGTTCTGATGGGGAATCCTGCAATTCAGAAGGTAATAGTCTCTTTGGGGAATCCTGCAATTCAGAAGGTAAAGACCCCAATTGGGAAATTTGAAGTAAAGATGGTATTGGAGTTACTTCTTCTTTAGGGGAAACAAGCAGTACAGATGGTACTGGTTCTGATGGGGGAGCTTCCAAGGTAGAAGGTAATAATCCCATTGGGGAAACTTGCAGTACAGATGGTCTTGGAAGTACTGGTTCTATTGAGGAAACTTGCAGTACAGATGGTACTGGCTCGCATGGGGGAACTTGCAATTCAGATGGTAAGAGTTCCATTGGTGGAACTCGCAGTTCGGATGGTATTGGTTCCAATGGAGCATCTTGCAAGGCAGAAGGTAATGGTTCCATTGCGGTATCTTGCACTCCAATAGCTAATGGTCCCATTGGAGGGGAAATTTGATTCACAGATGATCTTGGTTCCAATGGAGCATCTTGCAAGGCAGAAGGGGGAATTTGGAGCAGCGATGGTACTGCTTCCAATGCGGGAACTTTCAATTGAGAGGGTAATAGTTCCATTGGGGAATCTGTCGATCCAGATGGTAATAGTTCCATTGGGGAATCTGTCGATCCAGATGGTAATAGTTCCATTGAGGAAACTTGAAGTACAGATGTCCTTGCTGGTTCCATTGGTGAAACTTCCGGTACAGATGATATTGGTTCCAATAGAGGCACTGGATCCTTTGGAAGTACTTGTAGTACAGATGGTACTGGTTCTGATGGGAAAATTTGATGTACAGATGGCATTGGCTCCAATGGAGTATCTTGCAATCCAGTAGGAAATGGACCCATTGGGGAAGTTTCATTTACTGATGGTCTAGGAGGTAGTTCTTCATCGATTGGGGTAACATTCAGCACAGATGGTGCTGCTTCCAATGGAGGAACTTGCGATTGAGAGGTTAATAGTTCATTTGATGGAATTGGCGGTACCGTTGGTATTGGTTCGGGAATTCGAGAATCCTGCAATCCAGAAGGTAATGGTCCCAATAAGGAAATTTGAAGTACCGATGGCCCTGTAAGTACTGGCTCTATTGGAGAAACTTGCAGTTCAGATGATTCCGCTTCCAATGGGGGAACTTGCAATTGAGAGGGTATAAGTTCCATTGGCTCTATTGGGGTAGCTTGCAGTACAGTCGGTACTGGTTCCATTGAGGAAATTCGAAGTACAGTCGGTACTGGTTCCATTGGGGTATCTTGCAATGCAGAAGGTAATGATCCCGTTGGGGTAGTTTGCAATACAGATGGTAATGGTACCATTGGTGGATCTGATACTAATGAAATTTCTTTCAATGGGGGATTTTCTTTTTTCCCTAAAAAGTCAGATGAGGCAAATGCATCTATGGGACCCTGTGAAATTGTATCCTTCGATACCTCGCGTAATTCATTTGTTGGATTTTCCATCTTCCCCTGCAATGGGCCTTCAGCCATTTCATTCCCAGATTGAAAAAGATTTTCACCTTGCTGTGTAACAGGACATAGATTTTCATCAAATCCAATGCTGCTCCAATCGAAATTGTTGTCTGGCACCTATTATAACCAATTAAATAAGTTTGAAATTTCAAAATTTCAAAAAACCAAGTTTTCACCTCATACGAGTTTCTGGTTTCCCCATAGGAATCTGTATAGTTCCCATGGTCTTGGTTAAAGTCAAATAATACAGAGTCATCACTTCCTCCAGTTATATATCCGAAACCGGAATTTTCAAATGGATTATTGTTGTCCATATTATCAAGTAAAAAGTCAAAGCCTATCATGTTGCTAATGTCAAACGAGCTAGCCTTTATAGGGTTAACAAAAATTAATCAACACTGATATTGCAAAATGTTTGACAAATTCGAAACACTAAATTATATGGTCACACTGATATGAAAAATAAATTTATTCCACAATATATAGCATAGATATATATATAGATATATATATATATTGCGAAATCTTTATGTATATACAAAACTTACCTGATTTTGGGCAGCTCGCGATGTCGAAGGAACTTCCGAGTCAATCCGGGGAAAAGTATTCTTTGTTCGGAAATTTTGGTTTGGGAAACATGAAAGGATCGAAAAAAAAAAGAGTTACTTAAATGTCCGACAAATAAGTTTTATTTCACGAACCTGGTAATTGGTATTCGTACTAGTACTCGATGGGTTTTGTTGGCTGCCACCGAAGGCACTGAGGTTATCACCTCTTTCCTTCTGATTAGACATCTTAACACCGCGTCGCGTTTGCTAGTTTTCGGTTTTCAGATTTTTGTTAATTTATTTTTTTTTTTTTTTTTTATTTTGTTGAAAGAGCTCCGATTTACTCGGGTTGACTAAACTTATGAAACTGAACACTGAACCGACTGCCGTCTGACAACTCACAACTAAGTGGAAGTATTTGACGTAGGCTACTTCGATTGAATAGATTTTCAGGGATACGTGTTCAAGGGGTGCTTGAAAAACAAAAGCCCTGGAAAAGGCTAGCTTTAGGAACTAAAAGGAGCTATAAAGGATGTTAGTAGGTAAGACTAAAATAGTTTTAGCTGATTTTTCAAAAATAATGTAGAACAAAATAAGAGACATATTGAATCCATTTAAATCTGAGCTAAACATCCTAATACCATTTACCGTCTTATAGCCAGATCTCATCTACCTGCTGGGCTAAATGTTCTGTTTATTAATACAAACTTCAGCTGCGGGGGGAGAGGAGGAGGGGCATATTATATGCTTAGCTAATTTATGTATGTATGCGCGTGTGCATGTGTATGGGATAATTCCGATCGGCAGTTGCATTCAGTTTGCCTTTCAAAACCATGGCTGCTGCTCCCATCGATGGTCAGTGTTATGGTGGCTCCTGTTTGCCATTTGCCTTCATACGCACCGTTGAGCATTGGCATTTGTTTGCCAATGGTCCTGGCCAGGACCTCCTGTGCCTCGTCACGGCTCTAGTTGCAGTTGCTGCTTTTGCTTTTCCTATTGCTGTTGCTTTAGCAGCTCTTGTGGTTTATTATAACTGCATATATCATGCAAATATCCACACAGAAAGGGGGATGAGCTGGAGGTGGGTGGGCGGTAACCAGACTCCCAATTCCCAGTTCCCAGTACCCAGTACCCAGTACCCAGTACCCAGTTCCCGTCTCTACCAAAAAACCCCCTGGAGCAACCGAAAATCCAAACACAAACACAAACATCAGAGGAGAGAGAAGGAGGAGGAGAGGTTAAGGAGGGATCGAGGTCCTTGTATCAGAGGATGTTTGGTTTCTCGGGTGTGGCTGGCCTTTTTTGAGAGCTGCAGTGACAGGTCCTTGCACAAATTCGGTTTTTCGCTCGCCTTCTTTTCCCAGCTCTCGTTTACGAGAATTATTTTATAAATTTTCATAGTTTTCACTTTGATTAAAAGTGCGGTCATGGCTTCTGTGGCCTGGATTTCAGCTATGTTGGCCAGCTCCATTACCATGCGGAAAATGGAAAAGCCGGCCGCAAAAGTGCACGCAACGGAAATCGAGTGAAGTCCTGCGACAGCGTCTTACCGAAAATCCTTTCCAATTTTTAGCTAAGTAAAGGAGAGATGCCTGGCATGATTTATGATGTTTGTTTTTTCTCTCTTTTTCTTCTTATTTGTTTTAGTTCTTAGGTTTGCTTGATTTTGAAATTAAGTCAGGTAAATGGTTTTTGGGGAAAATTGTAAAAGAAAAATAAAAAAATATTTTACAAAATTGTGTTGGTCTTTTCGTCTTAGAACTTGGCGTGCTTTAGTAGTTTAGTTTAAGTTTGGTAGTAGTAGTTAAAAAGGAAGTATTGACAGATAGCATTTAACACTTTCTTAGTTAATACATGTTAATTATATAACAGCAATCAATGGCCTTTCTAATTACTAAAATTATTACCCACAAAACCTAAGATTGATGACTATTTAAATATATGGTGATATGTATATATCCGAAACGACTTCTGATTTGGTCATTACCCTAATCTGTAATGTCGTTTGCCAATTTGTGGCAATGTCTACAAATTGATTTAGCTGAGAAGCAGCAAGGTCATCAATTTCGCCCATTTAGGCCGGGTCAACACAAAAGCTCAAAATGATTTATATGCCCGCCAGTTTTCAAATTTCCTCTAAGTGTAGCCGCCGCACACACACACACACACACACACTTCAGATTAGCCAAGTATTCATTGCATTATTGGCATTAATTGCTCAGCCAGCAAAAACCGCACCGCATTTCTCCTTCGAAGAGTATTTCATTTTTGTTTCAATATTTGACAAATGCATTTATAATTGCTTGCCGCAGATAAAATCCGATCTGCCATCGTCCCCACTCGTCTTCCGTGCAATTTGTAATTGGTAATTTATGGCATTTCCTTGTTGTCTTAACGAGCTTAGCTAGTACTGAGCTCTTATTTGACCAACAAATTCCAAACTGCATTGGCATCTTGCGGTTGCCCAAAAATTATCGACGACACAATTAATATTATATGGCCAATAGTCATTTTCGATTTTACAGTGACTCAATTATGTAGGTTCTTAATAGGAAAATGTATTTAATGATTACTAGAAGTTGAGAGGTTTGAGGTCTTTGAATTATTATTATTTTTCCCAAATTAATCTTAGTTTGTTGGAATTTTTAAAAATATTTCCCTATTTTTTATCACCAAATATAAAATTCTAGTAAAATACTTTAAAGCAACTTTCTTGTCAACTTTTTGAATCCCTTTTTCAAGCCTTTCAAAATGAAATGAACCAAAACCCACACCACTGCAAATTCGTGATTTGTGATGTTAGAACGTTAGACATTTCAACCGCACACAAGTGTGAGTCATATATATTTTTTTAATTGCCTGAACTTGTCATTTGCCGTCGACTGCCATTTAATTTCACTAATTAATTTGTTTTTCCCAAAAACACACACCCGAAAAGGATAATGGCATGGGAGGGGGAGAGGGAGTGGAAAATGGGGTGTGCTAAAGACACGCGGCAGCTGCCGCAAAAGCCAAAAACAACAATTAAACATAAATCTTATAAATTTCCGTAGCCAAAACTTCCTGCCAAGGCTTTTTGTCTCCGCCGGCCGCATCTACGCCCCTCTCTATCGCACACCATCTACCTACCTCCCTCTCTCCCCTTCTCACTCTCTCTCTATCTTCCTTATTCTTTCTTCAGTTGAGATTTCTCGGCGTACCCAACGAGCATATTTCATTTTGGCTGCAACTTTTCCAAGGCACGCCCACCACGCATGGACCCCGCCCACTTTTTCTCAGCCGAAAAAACTTTTACCCAAAAAGCGGCGACGAAGAAGAAGAGGACAAGTCTGAGCATGAAGAAGAGAAAGAGGAAGAGGCAGAAGGCAGCGCATTGTTTGTTGTCTAACAGTCTATGACTATTTAAGACATCCCACATGCACACACTCCACACACACACACACACACACTACCCATACACACACACACTCCCCATACACACACACACACGCAGACAGACAGACAGACAGCAAGGGACTAACAAATAGGATCAAAAGGAATTTTTAAACATTTTATTTTAGAACCATTTTTTAAGGCAAAAAGTCAAAAAAAGAGTTTCAAAGAGTGAAAATTTCTTGAAAAAATTAAACAAAAAATGTAAAAAACAAAATATTTTGTATAAAAATTAGTGGAAATCTCATTTCGGCCTTGCTTTAGATATATTTATAAACTTAAATTCTGTTCCTAAATTTATAAAAAAAACAGCATACTTGGAAAATCTTCAAAATGTTTTTGAAATAAATAAATAAATAATTTAATAATGAATTTATTTTATGAAAAATAGTAAGCTTTGCTCCTTAAAACCCCAAACTTAACTTAACTTTTTTTGTAGTAAATACCAAAAATCCTAATATCTTGTCAGCGGGTGTAGGAGGAATCCACATTTAATTTAATTTTACTATTTTACTTTGCCTGCCGCTGGTTTTCAGTTTACAGTTACTTTTGTTGGCGGAAAAGTGCAACAAGGCTACATACACACACGCATATGCAGTTACTACAACCACACACACACACACACGCAGACACACACATATATATATATATATATACAGCCAGACACACAAATCGAAGGACCACACAAAACATTTGTTACAATTTCCCACGTAAATACTTCCTGCCAAGAAATGCTCTTCACACACACAGGCACACGCATACACACACACACACACACACACATATGCAAAAGCACAATTATAATTGTCATAACACAAAAGCAGCTGAAAATTTAGTGCCAAGTGCGAAAAGTTCCACCAAACTAAAGAAGAAGAAGCTGCAGAAGAAATGGGGATTTTGGGCTGCAAGCGAAACTCCCATTGCAATCGAGGGGTGCTCTAGCAGTTATCAAAAACTAAACGCAGCTCTTTTTAAAAATTAAAAAAAAACTATTAAATAAAAGATACAAAATGTTAATTGAGATCTTTTATATATATACTATATAATATAGTTCCAAATTTTATAATATTTTTTTGTTTATCAATTTTGGAAGCTTTTCTGTCTTAAAATTGATTTTGTTTTTTAGGTTTTCCCTTTACTACAAATAACACTGTTCATAATGAAATTTTGCCATTACAATAAATGTTATTTTTTCTTACAAAAACCTATGAATTTCATTATTAAAATCATAAAATATGTCTAACTCCTAACACACATATTTTCTAGATTTTTGGATGCTTTTTTTCTAACCCTCGCCTAGCTGCAACACCACCCTTTCTCTCTACCTTTCCCTAGACCAACTCTCTCTCTCTCTTTCTCGTTCTCACTCTGGCAGTGACACGTTGATAAATGACATTTGCGGCGTCAATGTGAATTTTATAAATTCCCGCAACTTTCACGCCCGCTGCGAGCTTCTTTGCCAGTGTGAAGAGGATTGGGACGTTGGAAAAGCCATGAAAAACCAGGAAAAACCCCGGCATACTGGCCAAAACAAAACGCTGACGCCAGCGGCAATAAGCCTGAATGAAAGTGGGTGGCTAGTATAGTTGGGAAAATAGTGGGTGGGCGGTAGTTTTTCGTCGCCTTGGTAGTTGCATATTTTTTATGACACTTTTGCGGCTTATCAACGTCATGGCAAACACATGCACTTGAGCCCATCCACGTTACTTTCGCCACTAACCAATTTCACATGCCCCCCGCCTCTTTGCTACCCCGCTACCCCCCCATTTTTGTCACATTATTTACATTGTCAACAAGCTGTCGCTGGTTTTTCGCAGCTCCGCCGCAGTCCGTTCTTCATTTTCATTATGTTACTTTTTTCCCCTTCCCCCTGCCCAGCTTGCTGTTGATTTTTCCCGATTTTTTCAGTTTTTTTTTTATTTAATTTTTCTACCCCAGTGAAAGTTTAATTACTATGGCCGAAATCTGACAGAGTCATGCTGTATGCTGTAAACTTTGCCAAGTAACTTTTTTCGCCAAGCAATCGGCCTGGAAAAATGAGGCAGATTTAGCTGGTTGGAAAAGCGGCAACAGGTTGCGATCAGAGAGAAGAGATTCTTGATGGCAAAGCAATGGAAAACTTGTTGATAAAGATTGGAAATGAAATCGAAAAAGAATGGAGGTCAGATCATTAAGAAACCTTTGTTTTGTTATAAGAAACTTTAAGTTAAATATTCCTAAACTAAAAACATTAAACTTATCAAGCTTTTTAGAAGTTAATCTACCAACTCTTCAGTACTCTAAGCATCTCAATTTCAACTTTAAAACCCTAACTAAAACCCTTCCTAAGTTCATAGTTTGCAAGGCACACAAAAAACTGACTTCATCATATTTTACTAAAGCTTCCTGTGACCTTAAA